CCTCTGCCCCAAGGAACTGGCCAAGTACTTTTTGGCAGAACTGCTCTCAGAGCCAAGCCAGACAGAAAATGAAGCCCTGGAGTCTGAGGACTTGTCCCGAGGGGCTGAGCAGGATGAAGTGAGACTGGAGCTGGAGCGCTCGGCTAACTCAAACCCCGCTCTGGCGCCCCGGGAACGCAAAGCGGGCTGCAAGAACTTCTTCTGGAAAACTTTCACATCCTGTTAGCTTTTGAAACCCACCTGTCCTCCCCATCCATCCCTGCCTTCTTCCTAGCCCCCTGCCCTGAGCAGAACCTTCACCACAAGAGGCGAAGACTGTAAATACTCAATCCACGGTTATGGTGAAATTAAACAAACAAGGAAAATTTGAGTTCGATTTCCAGTTGTTTTAATAAAACTTTCTGTTCCAATTGTACACGATTTGCTTGAGTTGTGATTTCTCACTAGTTCTTTAATGACATGCACTCTGCAACTCTTTCAGATGTAATATTTTTAATTCTTTGTTGCAATAAAGTTTATGTTTCAAACGGTGATGCTGAGACTTGGTGGTCAATGAGAAAACCTAAGTCGCTTCTCAGGCTGCTTGGCTTCGAAATGCCGCCCGTCTCAGGGCAGTAACAGCAAACAGCATCCACATGCACGCATATGCACACGCACACGGTATCTCTTAAAGTGAATATTTTCACTGTGGTCTTTCTAAGGGACCTAGAGACACAGTGGCATTTTAGATATCAAATCCCTGTAATTGTGGCTGAGTCAAATCCACAGCGCTGGCACTTCAGTCAGTCTAGAGGATTTACATCCATCACGAGACATCACTATAAATCACAGCTGTGTATTCCAAGTGATGGGGATCATAAAAGTGGTTCACAGTACAAGTTAACCCCACACATACCTCATTCCCTCCTCAGCCACAAACACTAAAAGGTTTTCTTACCTGGCATATTTTATGCCTTGCAACATCCCCGACAAACACTGCTTCTGGGATTCCTTCAAAAGTTTTCCTTTGTTCTGCTGCGCAGGGGGAGGTTTCACATCCCTGTAAAGCTGAGATGTTAACGCCACGCCGTCAGCCCCTCTCCATCTAATAAACTGGTTACAGCAGTTTTTCTACCCACTACGCCATCATTAAAGGCAATGTTAAAAGGTTCATTAGGGTAGCAGATAGCATCGGGAAAAAGGCATGCTTCTCTCAATGGAAGAGAAATTCTTCGTGCTTTTGCAGAGTCTCTTCCCTTTCTGGCCATGCTGGTTTGTGACATGCAATCATGGGTGAGTTGGAGCTGTAGAGCATGCATCCTGCGTGGGACAGGCGTCACCTTGATGAGAAATTCATCATTCAGGACTAAAGGTAATAAATATTTCGTAGCCATCTCATGGGAAGGAAAGGTGAAAAATGGGGGTTCCTAGAGATGTTCATGGGCGGAGGGCTGAGCATGACCCCGATGGAGGTGGATTCCCCAGCTGAGGGCATGTTAAGTCCCCTCTGGTCTGTGCTGAGCATAGCTCTCTGTGGAGCATCGTTCTTGATGGTTTGTGGGCCATTGCCTTTATTCTTGGTCGGCGTCTCCTTTCCTTCTGGGCAGGGCTGTGTTTGATTTGAGTTGCGGGCAGGTGAATCCCTTGTCATTGGGAAGGAACTGTAGCAGTGCCAATGTGAAATCCCAGCCCTGCCACGCTCACTCACCGCAGGGCTCGGCTGAGCTGCTCCACAGCCGACTGGCAACAGGCGAGGGTAGCGGGGGATGTGCACGGGGAGGGGAACTGCTGGCATCGGTCCCTGCAAGCCCAGAGGCAGGAC